CTCCTCTCAACCTGTATACTGGATAGTTCCCAGAAAGAAATACAGTATAGCTCTAAATGAGGTTCTTTTGCTTGGTCTTGGATCAGAAGTTCCAAGATTAGGGTGAAGCCTACAGTTCCTTCCAAAAAACTGGGTTCCAAGACACCAGCCGAATGTGTTGGGACCAGAATTGCCTTGGCTACCCAGGAGTTAATTATTTTGTGTCCTGTCTAGTTTTGGGGGATGCTTGTAGAATCGGGGACTGGCAGGAAGGCATGCAGGGGACATCCTGAATACAGCATGAGTACTTAGGTAAAGGTTTCCTCCAGACCAGAATGGCTCCTGGCAAAAAATAAGCTTTTTATGGCTTTTGTGGTGTATAGGCACCCCACAGTTGGGAGTTTGTTCACATGCATTCCCCATCATTGTCACTGGCAGTTGTGACGAGAGAATGAGTCATCCCCTAGCTCTGCTGGATGGGTGTCTTCAGATTCTTACCCAGCCTAAGATGAAGCAGATAAGGTAGCCATCAAATGGATGGAGAAAAGGTGGAGCCAATTGGGACAGAGAGCATCTCTTGAACATGCCAAATGCTCTATCACCAGCTGAGAGGAAAGATTAATGTGGTTGAAGTCTATTTCCTGTTCTAGAGCCTCTGCCTCTCCCCGAGGGAAGACAGGATTGAAGAATGCATGTTAGTGCAAATTACATCCACAGGCAGATTCAAGTTAGAGTTACAGCCAGTTGCCCCAACTGCAGAGACTAGGCCCTAAATACAGTCAGCTGGGTCAGTTAAAATAGAGGCTAAGCAATATATTTCAGAAACTTAAGTTTTGATGCTGAGGCTTGCCAGCTAGTTCACTTCCCTGCTCAATTTTAAAGAGTTAAGAGTGACTTCAGGGTGGGGAAAAGTTTAGTTTTGACACTTTATTATGTACAGCAACAATCCAAAACAAGAGAAAAGCATAAGTCTGAAATTAACAAAGCTGATAAGCGAGGTGGATACAGTGCAACACATCACTGGGGAAGTAATTACAGTGGAGTCGCGGGATTTAGGTTCAAGTCAGCGCATAAGGCAAAAATTGTGTATAATCAAAATACCACGCCAGCAGTGACTGCCTCTGCCTCCAAAACCTCCCACCGCCAACGCAGAGCCGTGCTTACAGCTGTGCAGCACAGGGTGGTGGTGGTGGGGATAGCTGCATTGCCACCCGGCCACCACCACACTGCCGCTCGGCAGCTGGCCACAGCTCTATGGTGACAGTGGGAGGTTTTGGAGGCAGTGGCCATCACCACCATAATGGGCCTCCAGGTAAGCGGCAGCGCCACATGCAAACTCAAGCCCCACCCCGCATATAGTTGAATTCGCGTAAGTTAAATGCACATATGATGCAACTGACCTGTAGTTAGGCCTCCCCAGCTTACTGCCTTTTGGAAGGTACTTGCCTCTCAAATGAATAGATGAAAAAGTGGCATCAACATACATTTAAAATATGGAAAAGATCATCTTAAAAACATCATTTTTAAACAGTCTACATCTACATTGTACTCCGCAGTGCACAGCTGTGTGTTTTCAAATTACACATTGGAGAAACAGCAGATTCTTATTGCACATAAACATTCTCCCCTGGCATCAGTCATCCCTGCTCCTGTCCCTGGTCCATTTACCTTGTTTTTGGGACTGGAAACCTGAATGAGATTCCCAGGAGCCTGGCCTGTGTCATACACAGTTGCAAAAAATAAAAAAGGTCCCTTAACCTAAACTAGCACAGGAAAGTGAAGTTGCTCCAGATACAGAGCAGGGAAGAGAACCCAGCTTTGAGACCCTGCCCAGTGCTCTATCCACTAAACTACACTGTATCTTGGTTATACATTACATAGTAAGTGAGCATCCTGCCTCTTCAGGACAAATATTTTGGAATAGAATTTGTGGCCTCAGAGTGAAGAGCTGTGTGTCCAAGAGAATATTAATCCAAAATTCCTAAAACTTTAGGAAGTTATATTGTCACTGTACTATCCCACAGGCTCTTCATTTAATCACAGTATTTAAACTAACCTGACTCCAATTCTTAGCCTGGCATTCTTTACAAGACAATGAGGCAGAACAAGAAAATCAGTAATATTTGACTACAAGGTTTGTAACACCCATAGCACCAGAAGCCTAACAACAGCCATGGTATACAGAATAGTCAGAAGTGTAGACATCTACCAAAGTGGTAATTTCTTCCAGCCAGACAAATCTGAAGTTGACAATTTGGCCAGGGTACTATTTGCTGTTTAGCCTTTAAGTATGTCAAGATATTCCTCCAGTTGCCTTAAAGGTCAGTGCCTCTTAAGTCCTTCAGTTTAGCAGATGTCCAACTGGCAGAAAAAATGGCAATGTGTTCTTAAGCTTCGGTTTCTTCAACCTGCTCCCCCTCAACCCTACAAAAACAAGAAAGGTATTAGTCAGCCACGCTGGTCAAAAACTTGTACAAAAGAAACCCTGTAGTCAGAAGAGATGTTTGAACTCAACCCTCTGGCCTCTTCACCACTCTGGGGAGTGCTGCATTTCAATGCACAGGAAGGCAGGGCAGAAGTGGCATCTGGAAGCCCATCTGCTCTGCCACTGAACAACAGGCTGCGTACAAGGATGCATTACTTGTCTTCGGCTTCCTTCACAGACTTACTACTTTGTACTTTAGGTTCTCAGTAAGAGCAGCTATGATGGCTACTAGTCAAGCAGGAGTCAGCATCTTGTATATGAACTGCCAACTGACAGGAAGAAAACGGGAAATAAAAAAGCTTCATTTTTGTGCCACACCCACAGGCCATCTATAAAACATGAGATACCAATAGCCTGCGCCTATCGTTCGTCTTAGCAGACAGACTGAAAAACACACTCGAGTGACTGACTGAAATTCAAAGTAAAATCATAGGTAGGGGCCCATTTCACAATTTTTGCAAAAAAACACAGGCTCCTTGGGGGAAAAAAATAACTGAAAATAAAATGCTGGCTTACTCTGAGGAGCCAGCAATCCTTGGGGCCGCTGTAGCCTGGCCGTGCAGCCTGCTGGGGGGGCAGGAAGAGGGGGGTGCCTAGCAAGATGGTTGCTGCCCCTCACCACTGACTGGCTATGAGGTCTGTGGCCCTGCTCCTCTCCATCCATCAGTGGTGAGAGGCAGGACCGCATAAAGGACATCCCTCGTAGCCAATCAACAGCAAGAGGCAGGAATACCTGGGCCCCTCAGCCAGAGGCGTTGAGGAGTGGGCCAGCCACTCCCTCCGCGAAAGTGGCTGCCAGCCCCACAGTCTGCCCGTGCAATTGGCCAGCAGCCACTTCAAGTTCAAATCATTGGGTTGAAAGCTTAGTGTTGGAAAGGACCTCAGGGGTCCCCTTGTCCAACCCCTGCACAGATGCAGGCTGCACTACTGTTAAGACATTCCAGACAGAGGCTCCTCCACCCTTACCTTAGAAACCTTCAGGGAAGGAAATTCCACAAATACCTGGAAAAATCAAGGAGTCCCTTAATGGACAGACTGGGGGGATGGGGAAGGGGTACTAGATAAAATCAGTGAAGGCAAAAAAACCCATTACAAAAATAGTTCTGCCTGCACTGCCCTCAAAAATTGCCACAGTTCAAGTGTAGGGTTGAAATATTATGAATGGGGAGCTATTATGAGAAGAACCTCTATGAAATGCACATTTCTCCATCTCCTGCCCATGATAAGCCCTGCAAAAGGATAAAGAAGGTAGCCTGCCCCATCCTTCTGTGCAGGCAGCAGCTGCAGCCAGTGAAACCTTTGTCTTTGGACAACAAGGAAGTCAAATCATCATCAATGCCCAAAAGGCTCCTGTGTACAACAACTTGTAGGAGGTTTGGCTTGCCATATGCTGCCCTGAAAGTGATAACAGGCTTCATACACCAGGAGACTCCTACCACATTCTTGTGCTAGAGCAGGGGTGGGCAAAATGCGGCCCAGGGCCGGATGTGGCCCATCAGGCCATTCTATCCGGCCCGCAGGGCCCCTAAAAATTTAGAAAATTAATATTTATTAATATGGCCCCTGGTCATGTGGCCCTCAATGGCTTGTCAAAACTCAGTAAGCAGCCCTCTGCCCAAAATAATTGCCCGCCCCTGTGCTAGAGTCAAGACCTGGGATGCAGGTGGATGACTGCAGTTCTCAACAACAGGGTCTGAGCCAAAAAGTCAAGCATGTACCACAGAAAGAAGTTAGCAGAGCAAATGAATACAAACACATGCTGCTGCTAATGCTCCCTGAGTTTCTGCTGACTGCCAGACTATTCCCATGACATTCTGGTCCTTAACTCCCAAGTCCTAAATGCCACTTGTTTTCACCCCAACTGGACAGACTGCAAAGAGGACAGCAGCAAGCCATTCTATAGAGGGCCCTTGTCTGTGGAAAGCAAATGCCACCAATGGACAGGTATCCAGGTTGTAGCCATATTCATCTAGAGGCAAAAGGAATCAAAATTCATGGTAGGGGTGATATCTTTTATTAGACCAACTAGATATTGGTGGACAGAGAATTCAACTCCTGAACTGTTTAGGTTACAATGCAGGCTTTGTTCTTGCAGCAGCCCTTTCCCCCAAAAGCCATGAAGCCACAGAATCTCAGCAATGCAACAGCGCTATAAACCAGCTAAAATCCACACCTCTTGCCTAAGTAGCTACTACAGTATGCGCCTTGCACATGCATACAAGGAAACCCCCTGCTCAGCCAAGATTGGAGGAAACTAAGCAGTTTCCCCAGCTCTCATAACAGCTACAGAGAGGAATATAAATGAATGAAGGGACAAATACAGCCAATGGCTGCTTATAAGGTATTTTTCTCCATACACAAACTCCTGGCTACAGCTGTCCCCACTTGGAAAAGCCAAAAATAAATTCTAATTACCTGGTCTGTGCCAACCACATCCACATCAACATCTTCACCTACATCTTCTGGGAAGTTTTCTGTCTTGATCATATCTTGGCTGAAATGAAAAACCAAGTGGTTTAATTGCTGTCCCCTCTCAAATTATGCTCAATATGTTTGCTATAGAAAGCTAAGAAGTGGAAATAGAGACAATGCCTACATGCTATGAGTTGCTCTTAGATTCTTGCATAAAGCAGCACAGTATCTTCCAAGTGAGGAAGCGCTTCAAGTGTTCTGATAAAGAGGAATTTTGATGAATGCATTTCTAGATAGCAAGACACACTCCATTTCCCAGAGAAGCTGTTAGCCCTCTGGTTTATTTTACCTGCCAATTTTATTTTTCTTACATTTCAATAAGAAAGAAGTCTAGTTAAAACAGGGCCCGCTGCCCAGAGTAGCACTTATCTGTCTGGAGTCCAAGTTACCGTTACACATGTCCCTTTAACATTTCTAGAAATGAAAGCCAGAGAAAACTATTTCTTTTTTCCCCCCCATTTGTTTCCTTTGGTGTGCCAGGCAAAACTTCAAAGTCTGGTGGGAACCCTGGTCTTGCTAAAGATGCTCTGCACACCTTCTGTTACACCAGTTTGTGGGGAACTGCAGGCAGTATACAAACCCAGGTCTTGCCAGAGGTCAGTAACAGCAGCAGAGCTGCTACCACCAGGAGCACATCTGCTACTCTTAGCCTTCTACCACTGGTGAGGAGCTAAGGGCCTGAGTGTGAACGTTTTCTTCACTCCCCATACACCAGGCGAGGAAGGACAATAGGGTAACTGAAGCCTAGTGGCATAAGCCAGGAGAGACCCAATGGTCTCTTCACAGCATCCTCAATGGGACTAGGAACTTAAGTGCAGCAAAGAGCCACTTCTTCCATCCTCGATCCCCACCTAGGACCAGGCAGCAATGGAAGGCTTGGAGTGGTAGGAAGCGTGGGATTCTTGGATGTTTCAGTATCGCTCTGAAACAGAGATCCTAGTAATGCCTTGATGTTAGTTAACTGCACTGCATCAGCATTGAGAGCACAGCCTCGCAAGACATAGCTTGAAGACAGACTCAGTGCATCCAGTATAAAGGTTTATACAGTCTGCCTGTGTCCTGTTTAATGACCCAGAAGCCCATGGGCACCAAGAAATCGCAGGGGTAACTTAAAGCATCTGTAGAACATGCATCCCTCACCTGCATCTTCTCTTTGGTCCCGCTGGACACAGGAATGGTAGATATTCTGGGCGAGGAGTTTCTTGAGCCTTCAACCTCTTTCTGCTCTTCCTTGCTGGGGAAGCAAGTTGCAAAGTATACTGGAAATCTGGAGTCTTGTTTGTTGCCTCAGCAGGGCTGGTTTCAAGTAAAGACCCTGTAACAGATAATGAACAGTATTACTCTTCATCCTTGCTCTCTGAGTGTGCCTGTAGACATGCAGGGACAGTTAGTTACAGCATGTCAGAGCAGACTGGATTAATCAAGTCTGCTGAAGCGTGCTAATTAGCTTTGAAATGGCAGCCGGGGTACTTCAAATTAAAGCTCATCAAATGAGCTTTAGTTAAAGTGTCCCTGCCGCCATTTTGACGTATGGGATGCTGATACACAAGATGCCGCAGGCACTTTAATTAGAGCAGGTCTCGGAGCCACTCTAATTTAAGCGCCACCCCCCACCCCTTCACTCCCAGAGGCCATGTGAAGACGCCCTGAGATGCAGAGATGAACACTTCTCACAACACCGTTCTTCATATGGAAGAGCCACTGTGGATACCAAATTCACACGGAAAATTTGAACAGAACAGTCATTTCAAAATTCTGCTTGGTTTAGTAATTTCACTAAAATCTACAAAGAAATTTAAGAAAACAAGAGGCCCAGGAAGTAGCTAATTACAATATTTTCCTGCATACCACTTGCCCGCCCCACCCCACCCCACAATAAGATATGCACCTTGTTTCTGGAAGGCAGAATGTAGAAAAAAAAGACTCCTCCTATCATGGCCAGGAGCTGACTCCATGCAGCAGCTCACTCACCCTCAGGCAGCTTCATTGTGCTCCGGCAAAAGCTACTGGTAACCCTTTCGTGTCCAGTGCCATATCAGTAGCAGCTTTTGGAGGCTCAGGCAAAAAAATTACCATTAATTCAGGGCTAACATTTGAATTCAGGATTAACACCTGCATCCGTGTTGCTGGCTGGCCCAGAGGAAAGTGACAGCTGCTTTGGCTGCCATGACAGCACGGCATCTCCATGCCTTTATTCTTTCATGATTCTATGCCTGTGACGGAAATCAGCTTCCCTGCCAAGAACATGCACCACCTTTTGGAGGACTGATTATGGGGGGGGAGGGGGCATGGGAGTAAATATGGTAATTGCTTTTGCACAAAAAATATGCACCCTCGACCCCTGTTTTAGAATTATGGGTCCTGCGTGCTGCTGCTCAGACAGAAAGAGGCAAAGTGACAAATGACACATGGCAACACCCACCCTTCCCTGCCAAGTATAATGGCCTCTGAAGGGAATTCCTGCTACTCATCCTCAGATGAAAGAAAGTCTTTGCAAACCACAACCTTAAGAAGGGCAAAAAGAGAGAAGTAAGCTAGGAAGCATGGAATTAAAAGAACCCGGTAGAGGGGATTCCCTTTCCTGCCACCTCAAATAGAACATAACCCCAAAATGGCAAGGGTGAGAATCTAGAGATAACACTGAGCACTTCTATAATTAACTGTTTTCATCCTCAAACAGCTCCATACATTTTAACTAACCCATGTGGGTGCAAGTAACAGTTGAAAACATCTGAAGGGGAAAATAATGAAACTGAGAATGAAAGATTACAAACCCTGAAGACACCAGCATTTTAACACAATATGTTAAGAAATATATTTTCACCAGAGGCACAACGCAAATTGGACCCAAGAAGAGCAATGGTGTTTTCATACCATTAGATAACTTCCTCTTAAAGGCAGATATCTTAGATGGGCTCATGGATGACCACTCTCCTACAACGCCAGTAACAGTGCTCTCCTCCTCTTCATTCGCAAGCAAAGAGTTTCTGTACCAAACCAAGGGGTGCCATTCATCTCCTTTGCAGAACCCTGGCTCTGTTATGTATCTCTGTAAGTAGCCATACCTGGAGAAAGCCAAAAAGCAAGAATAATTAAAAAAAAGTATTCTGCTCTGGGAATGCAGATGCAGCATTGCTACAAAGGGAGTCCCTCTCTTTGCAATGAAGCAGCCAAGACCAGATCTGTCATGAGAGAGAGAGAACACTGCTCCTTTTTTCTAGGAAATAAAATCAAGTGTGAAAGCCCCCAAAGCTGAGAGACTTCTTGAACTTTAACATTAGACACAACACTTCATTCCCAGTAATTACAAAGCCACATCAATCTCCTAAAAGAATTTCCTGCACTCTGTAGCCTATTGCTGCTGCTGCCAGGAAATGGCTTGAACTGGGTTGGGCTCTTCAAAGATGCTCATTTCTCTTGGGAACTGAGAGGCCTTGTCTTGCCTCCTCAACTGTAGAGCAGGGGGAAACCCAACTGAGGGGGGGCTGCCTCTGCTGAATAGTGGAGCTGGTTGGGAGACTTTTCCCCCCAACATTAGAAAACAATGATGTGCCAATAACTAATCTTTTTGCTGGAATGTAAGAGTTTTGATTAAGCTTTGTCAGGTCCAGGATGGACTTTACAAAATACCTACCACAGCAGTGGCCAAAGCACCCATGTTGGGCATAAGATTCCCAGGCTCATGTCTGTCTTGATCAATTCGGGCAAAGGACTTCCATATCCCAGGTGAACAACTTCATCAGATTACTGGCTATCCTGAGTTAGGCACATCTCCCTCACTCTCTCTAGACATTGTTTTGAAATGTTTCCCACTCGGTTCATTTTAACAAACAGGAACTTTGCTGAATCAGACCACAGAATTACAACCTGGATCAGGCTTCTGACCTTAGCTTATATCCCTTTCAAATCAAACCTATTGCTGCTAAGCCAGATCCACCTCAGACCACACCAGAAGGCACAGTTTTAATGCTGGCTCGTACAGTAGATTATTCTTTCTTTGATTATGAGGATGGTCTGGAAAGTATCAGACACTTTGCAAACCAAGAAAGCCAGTCCCAGGGGCAAAAAGTGGGGGGGTGAGCACTGAATCAGAAATTATTGCAGTCACCCATCCTGGAGGCCCCAGGGGCTTAGAAAAAACTCTGGCAAAGGAATTTGCTGTTTTCAAACAAGTGTGTATTGCAGCTACTATTTCAGGATCTAATCCAACTCCCAGCAATGTTCGTAGCAGACTAATTTGCCTTAGACGAGAGAGAGAGAGAGAGAGAGAGTGTGTCTATTAAATTAAATGAGAATACGTCATCAACAGGGTGGGCAGATTTTGTACAAGGCTGGTAAATTCCCTGATGATGATTCAGGAATCAGGTCTTTATTGTAGCTCATTATTTGGTTGTCTCTATATAAGGTTTCCTGGCAAAGACCAGCTAACTTACCAGTAACATTTTGCTGCTACAATCTGGGTAATTACAGGAGGAGGAAAAAGTTAAATTCCATATACTTAGACATGTTGAAATATACCCCTTTCTAACAAATGCCCACATTCTGCATCTCATCTGTAATGGATGCATTCACATATGTTAATATACAGGTCTGAACATCAATCCTATGATTAATAATAAAAACTGAAAATAACCAGATGTTTATTCTCAAAAGTTCATGTTGACCTAAAACATTCCATCCTGTAATTTATGATGCAGCTAAACCTAAATATTTCTAAGAGGAAATAATAATCTCCAGCCTCTGCAAGGCGTTTTGAGACTCCCAGAATAGAAACTGTTACTTTAGAAACACAGCTTGAATGCAGAGTTGTAGATAAAACTGCAGCCCCCCCGCCCTCCTGCCCCAACTTTACTGCTTTCCATTTATTTCCAGCAGAGGTAGGCAACTCTAAAGCAGTTGGAGCTAGAGCCTGAAAAGAGTTTCTTGCTTGGATCCAGATCCATCCAGCAACAACAAGCAATTATCCAACCAGAAGGGAAAATCCTACTTTCCTGGGATGTGCAATTACAAAAAAACATTGAATACAGTCAAGGAAAATCATCGGGGAATTTACCAGCCTGTTACAAAATCCACCTGCCCTGTTCATGAAGTATTTTCCTTTCATTTAATTAAAAAGATGTATACAATCCTCTAAGGCAAATAAGTTGACAAAAGATTTGCAAAGTTGGATTAACTGTAATTCACCTGGTAAAGAAGGGTTACTATGTGGCAGCACCGCATACTCAAATCAGATTCAGTTTGTATAAATTAAAATCTAGTGGTACACAGAAGAAATCTGAGCTGGGACAAAGAAAAGAATAAGAAACTCCTATTACATAGATCCTATCTACCTTGCAACAACTGGAGGACACCAAAAAAAAGAAAAAGAACCTTAGGGTTTGGGGTTTTTTCCCCATTTTTCAAATGGGGGGGGGGGGGGGGTGTTTTGGTGGTGGTTTTGTGTTTTTTTTTGAAGGGGGGGGGGGGGGGGAGTATTTTTGGAGGGTATTTTGGTTGGTTGGTTGGTTTTTTGCACAATGCATTTCTTTGTTATATGCGTTTGTTATTCTGAATTTTTCATGAAACTAAATCCTGAATAAATGTTTGCCAAGGATTGTAAGTCACATGACACTAACATCCGACAACCACTCTTGATCTTTGCCATGCAAAAGTGAGTTGATACACTCCGCAGAAGATAAGGTCCAGTTCAATCCAGGCTGATACTGCCTGTATGCTTTAAGTATCCTGTCCCATGCTGGTCATAAAGGAGTGTAGCAAAATATGGGCTTTTTCATCCCACTGCCTGGTTTCTGTTCAGTATGAGACCTCTCCAACTGCGACCACTGTGAATTTCTGAGACATTTACAAACAAAAAATCTATTAATATTTAATTTGAAGCTTGAGAGTCATGAAACAGACTCCCTCAGAGAAAGTGAGCAATAAGGATTCCCTTTTTATTTGCAAGTAACACAAATGGTAGATTGTTTTCCATATGCATGACCCCCACTACTGGCTGAAAAAATGTCCCTCTAACCAAACTTCTCACAAAAAATTAATAGATTTCCAAAGTTTGCCTAACCAACTAGGGGTATCCAAGCAATTCCTCCTCAGCACAGATCAAGAAACCCATCTACAAAATACACAAATTTGTGCACAGCTGCAGGTATGTGCTGTGCTGTGCTGTACTCTACACACAACAGTGAAATTCACTTGTTTGACAATAAACAAGGATATTAACTTACACTAGTCTTTTGTCAGGCTTTAGTAGTTTATTGGAGAATTCACTGATGATTACCAGAAAGTGTAAATTTGGAGGCACGCATTTTCCTTCTACTGCAGCATTCTGAAAGGCAAATTCAATCCCTTCCCTAACAGAGGGAAAATTATAAAAGAGGGACAATGTAATTGAACAGAGGAAACAAAGACAAGGCCAAAAGCAATGTATGATTGCGTGGCACATACTTGTGTATCATAGCTACTGATTCCCTGGATTTCACCTGGTCCCAACCAAATGTCAGTGAGAAGCGACGAGCAAGCTCCTTAATGTTCATGAAGGAGGTGGATGAAAACTCCATGCTGTTGCTACTGCCAAGAGCATTGATGTGCTTCTGAAACAGCTGCAAAGCCACAGACATCTGCATGTTACCTTCTATATGTAATAAAAGCATTAGGAAGACAACCTGCTTGCTAACCATTAAATTCCTTGTGTGGACAGAAACTTTTCAAAGGGGATAGCCAAGCAAATTAAAAAATTAAGAAAATGTATTTAGGATTTCTGTTTCACTCATGCCCATGAGCTATATCTGAGTGTTGTATGAGGAAACTGCCAGGAAGGACACAATTGTGCTGAGCACAGAGGACCAAATTAAAACAGTCAACAAATATATAGCCAAATGCTTCCTACTCCACCCCTCCCCCTTTTCAGATTTCAGGGGTTAGTTCATGGCGTTCGGCTGCTGACAACGTGTAAAATCAGCCGAGCTCATTTTTCAGTCATTCTAGAAGTCTGCCCTATGGCTCGGAGTATGACATGGACACTGGACAAACAGATGTCACGAGCAGCCCCGCCAAGAGCAGCCACTAAAACTGATTAGCAGATTCAATACTGCACCTGCAAGCTCCAGTGGTTACAAGCCTCAAAGAAGCTGCGCAAACAGAAAAGTGGCAGATATTTTATGGGGCTTCTGCCTTCTTCAATAAACTAGAGGTGCACCAATACATCGGTCCGATATCGAATTGGTACCAATATAAAGAAAACTGGCCGTATCAGATATCGTCCCAATGGGGCCGATAATTTGGCCGATAAATGCCCATGCTATGAGCACCCGCAGCCCAGCACTCAGGCAGCGAGAAGCACAGCTGGCAGCATGGAGAGCTGCCTCCAGCTGGTAAGCCTGGTGTGTTGGAAGGGGAGGGGGGAGGGAAGGGGCATGGCGGGGCAGATCAACACTCCCCATGGTGAGGGAGCAGGCAGGGGCAGGCGCTGCCCAGGTGGGGTTGGGAGGGGCTGGAGCCGTGGCTCGTGGTGGGGGGAGGGAGGGAGACGGCGCAGCCTGGGATCAGAATGGGCACCAGCGGTGCTGGGAGAATGCTACATCCACCCCAAATTTCACCGCCGCTCCGCTCCCAGTGCTACTGCCACCAGCCACCTGGCACAGCCCCGGCTCTTCCTGGCGCGTGGGTGGAGGTGGGACGTTGAGCCCCACCCCACGCAGATCCAGGGTCACAAGCTGCAGCTGTGGCTCCCGCCCCTTCCCTCACTGTGCACCCCCCGCATGCCCCTTCCCTCCCCCCTCCCCTTCCACCACACCGGACTTACCAGCTGGAGGCAGCTTTATCAGAAATCAGATTGGCATGGCCGATATGCCTCCTTAAATGTGCCCTGAACCTGTATCTAGTAACACCAGACATGCAAACTGTACCAATCCAAAAGATTCTACAGGGGAAGAAAAACTGCACACACTAATATTTTTTAAACTGAAGCCAAAGGGTTCATACAGTGCTCTGACAATGAAAAGCCCTTATATTAAAATCAAGGATATGACTTTTTTTTTCCTGTTGTATAGTCAAAGTATGTAGAATAACTATGGCAAGGCATGCAAAAAGTTCTAGCATTAGCTTGACCAACAGCACGTCTTTTTCCTTCTGCTTTAGTCTTACCTGTTGCAGACAAAGAACCAGTGTCTTCGCACACTGAATCTTATCATTGTGCCTTGTCCTACTCAGTGTCTCTTTAATTATGTCTCCAAAATCATTATAAGTCTATTCGTGCCAACAAAACAAAACAGAAGTGTCATTAACTTATGACTGCATTAGCTCCCAATACTCAACAAAGATAAATACTAAAAATCACTCCATACAATTCATAAAATATTCCTGTTTCTAGATCCATCGCTATAGGGAAACACTAAGGGTGCCTGTAGACGTGTGGGGATGTTGCTTCAATGCACTGCTCTGATGTGCACTGGGCCAGGATAGTTGTGCCAGCTGCAGGGCCAGCCTGTCTCCCAGCCCCGTCTCCATGGGGCCCCATCCCACAGGAGTAGCTGTCTTCCAACCCACTCTCAAAATGGCTGGGAGACAGCTGCCCCTGCAGCCTGCACAGTTCTCACCACATGTGGGTTTAGCCAGGCAACAGTGGGCCCCTTGCTGCCTGGGCTAACCAGGAACAAATTGCTCCTGGTCAGTGTCTACACATTAACTACTGCGCAGTAGCTAAAGCACCATTAATTTAGTACCTTTATTTCCTGGTACTAGCTAATGGCAGATTAGCCTAATTTACTGTGCGGCAAGTCCTACGCACGTGTACATGGTGACACTTTATGGAGCATTAGGTTAGTCTAAAGCGCAGTAGAGCGTCTTGTATAGATGTGCCCAAGGAGAATTTTGCAATGCTATTTGTGTTGCAACCACTTTGTGAATAAAAAGGAAGGATTCCAGCCTCTGGCTAACGCAGTATCTTTCACAAGCATTAGTTTCACTTAAAAAGTTTAAACGCATTTTAAAAGCAAAGGGATCTTAATAGAAAGTCACCTTCATATAATGCTTATAGATCTCAGCTGCTGCAACCATCTCCACCACGTTACACACAATTAGCTTGCAATAAACTGCAAGAAGGCTCCTTCTCCTATGCAAGTCGTTCAGTTTGTAGCCTTCCTTCGTCCTCTCTTCCTCTTCTGTCAAGTCTAGGGAAATAAGCATGCTGAAGCTTTGTTCTAACATTTTACTCAAGGTACTCAAGGTACTTCACTTTTAAGACCGACTTTCATCTGCATAACACAGACTCAGCTGTTCAGCCAACTCTCTGAACAACAGATGCTACTTCACTTGTGCTACTCTATTTTTTTTTGCTTATCAGAGGATACTGATGGTTTATTTCCATTTCAAAGCTCACAAACGATGACAGTATGAGCTACTCATTTACATATCCTTTCCATTCAGATCTTCAGAAGGATTTCACACTTCTACGAGCCAGAATCCTCTCACAGGATTGCATGTGTAGCTACAGAAACATGACCAAACAACGCAAAACAAATGCCTTAAAAACACATAGAACAGAAAGAACAGACCAACTGCAACCATATATCTATATGAAGGAGACAGAGGACAGCAGTCCAGCACCCCATCAGTGACCCTACACAAATTAGCATGCATATCAAATGAGAAACATTAAGCCATAAGTTTTAAGTAGTTATTAGCAAGAATGAAGGAGGAAAGGGATTTTTTTTAATCATTATGAATATATAATCCCTCTGGAAACCAGTAGTTCCTAAGCAGGTGACATTTGGAAACAATGATTTAGGGTTTTCAAGGCTGGTTGCTGGAGGTGCTTGGAGATGGTTCTTTGTGGCAGGAAAGGATGGGAAGGTTAGACTCTTGAATTCTTCCCCTGCTGCTGCTGCCAAAAGCAACTTTATTAGTCTCTTAAGCCTATGACCATTGTGTGACCTGTTTTTGGCTTTCTACAAAATCTATGGCCTGGAACCCACCACAGATAGAAGGCTGGCCAAAAGTAAATGATGGCTCAGAAATGGCTCATTGAAAAAAGTACCCCCTGGCTCAAGACAGGATCATCTAAACCAGGATGTCTAAACCATGCCAGCCAAGGGCTCGTCTAACCTACACTTAAAAGCTTCTGACAATGAAGAGTCTGCAACTTCGCTGTACACTGTATATAATCTGTTCCAGGCATTTTCCTTTTACAATTTTCTTTATAGTAGTTTAATCCCATTATTTCTTGTCCTGTCCCCTGTGCAGAGGGCCTGGTCCATCACCATCTGCAGTCACAACTCTTTTGTATTTGAAAACTTCTCCAACTTCCCCTCTCAATCTTTTTCTCCAGACTGAAGAGCACCGATTCTACCACAATTTTCTTTGTGTCATGTTATCTGGAGCTCTAAGGATCCCTTCAAATGGACACACGCACACTTTTGGATGAAAGAATTTCTCAAGACTGTTGAAGGAAGGGCAGGGAGCAGGATAGCTGGGTACCTTTGTGTGGAGGACTAAAGAACTGAAAAATACAATTCCTTACATCCAGTTTCTCAGAGCACATTGCTTTCTGAGTATACTGGTGTCCTTAACGTCTTAAAGGCTTACAGCCTCCTTCAGAATCAGGTCACAAAACAAAATGGCATTTTCAGCCTCATTTGTACATTCTTATTTTGAATATACCTGAAAATAGTAAAAGAGTACCAGGTACCATAAATCTTTCTGCAAAATCAATCCCAATCAAACAACACGTGCTGACCTTATAAAACAAGTCTGGAGCAAGCAAACATCAACTAAGTCTCACCGCCAAAGCACTAAACCTTCCAGGAGAGTGATTAATAGTATCATTCTAGCTCTTTACAATCTATTACAAGATTTTACATGACTGCCCCTCACTGTACCAACTCAATCATTTAAAAACAATTAAAAATATTCCCTCTAGTTAGGTCCCAGGGGACATAAATCTGAGTACAGTAGAATGATCCCTTCCATTTACATTACAAATAAAGCTGCTGTATATGAAAGAGGCCAAAAAAAGTTAGAGCAGTCCCTCTGCCTGACAATGTCAAATGCAGAGGATGAATGGCATCAACAAATGGTGGTTTACTTCCTTGCCAAGAAGGTAGCTGACCTTTGAATTCTTCCTCCTCCTCCGTGAACACATGATCCTGGATAAACAAGAGCATTTTTGACTGAAGGGACATGCTGGGAAGATACTCCAGGAGACCTACAGCTTCATCAGAGCTTGAATTTTGATGACTCAAGATCAGCAGCAAATCACAGAGTATCATGAAGGCCTATAACATACACATATACCAAATAAACAAAAAAACAAACAAGGATTTAGGGCTTTGTAAAGAAGTTGCCAGAATCATACTATTTTAATTTCAGCACTATCATCAACCATAATGCATAGGGGGTAGCTTCTGTCCTGCTTCTTATCACCTCTTTACCTTTCCAGGCCCCAGATTTCTCACAGCCCACTTCTAAGAGAGATGTGATTCATGGGAGCAAATGTTTATATACACCATGCACCAGCAGCTGATTTAGAAACCTAGGACTAGAAGGGGCCTCCCAAACCACTGAGTCTAGTACCTGCATTCACAGGCAATCATTTGTACAGAGTCCTACAAGTCATCCACTCAAACCCACAGGCACAACACACTGTAAGAATGAGAAGCTGAACTCTGCCATGTGCAATTTCTTCTTGTTATAAACAAGTCAAGCTATTAGGCACTATGGGCACTGATGCACATGCAGTGAGGCTGCTCTGACGCACTGTAACTACAGCGTGTCAGAGCAGACTCCAGCGTCTTGCGTATTATTGTCTCCACACTGAAAAATAGCGGTGGGGGCGCTTTAACTAAAGCTTGTTTGACACCAATATGTGAGATGTGACACACAAGATGCTCTGAGGCCACTCTAATTAAAGACCCTCCCCCCAGAGCACGTGTATAAATACCCTCTACTTTGGTTTTTCCATTTCTGCAGATGCAGTCTCAACAACCAAGCCCGTCTTTTCCAGTGTTTTTAAAGAAAAAATGGCAGCAATAAATACATCGCCACCAGTGAGAAAGCCCAGATCAGGGGTCAGCAATGTTTTTGGGCAAAGTGCCAAAAACAATGGCAACCTCAGCTTGTAAGACGTAAGAGTGCCAGGGGGAGATGGCTGGGGAGCTGTGAGGGCCCAATTCTTGTTGTGGTAGTACAGCCCTGGCTCCTTCCCTGCTGTCTGCTCCACAGTGCATATGCCAAGCAAAATGCCTTTGTGTACCACACTCTGGCACCCACGCCAGGGGTTGCCTACCCCAGTCCAGATTATTAAACTGCAAGAAAATCCACTTCAGCAACAGGTATTAAAGAACACCATGCAACAGCCAGGATAGAAGGGCCAGACAGCACATAAACGCCAAAAATACTTTTAAAATGTAATTTTCTTGAGTCAAACTGGCAATTCCCATTTCATCAGGCAATCCCAGAAGACCATGATAACACTTCTCAGGCCACGTTGGCATTTTTAATGGTTCAGTCACAAAAATTAAACTATCCCAAACTCTCCATCCCTGTACACAAGGTTGGCATCCATCACCATGTGGGAAGATGAAGGTAGGCAGTTGGTGGCAGGAACCGGGATTAGGATTCAGGAGTTTGTAGCACCCATCCCTGTGATCAGCCTTCATCTCCACAGAGCTCACCACCGTGCCAGGATTCCCCACTGGAGCCCAGGGGAGGCCTGATGGATCAATGGGCCCCGATGGGAGAACTGCAGGCTGCAAGATAACCACTTGTGGGTTGCAGGCCGCCAGTTGGTCAGCCCTGTTTTATAGGATATCGGATTAAATTGGTTGTAAAATTTAAACGCACAAGAACAACAACAAAAGCAAAAAAAGACATTGAGCAAATCAACACATAGCATCTATAAAATGCAGTGGTGAAATCCTGCTGTGGCACTTGTAGCAACGTGCAACAAACATGGCATCATGGGGCTGGAAGGGACCCTCAAGGTTTATTCATGCTGTGAACAGGGATCACTATTGCCCTGGGAATAAACAAGGCAGTCTATGAACAGATAACAGAAATGGCAGGCCAGGGACATGCCCATGACTGGGCCAAGTACTGGGCCACGTGCAAGGTATTGAGGCAACAGTTCACAAGGACTCAGGCCACCATCCATGTGTCAGGCGCACACAGGGTCACATGCATCTGCTACAAGGAAATACCCCATATCTTCACAGTCAATGACATGGTCATGTCTGAAAATGTACCAAACACAGAGGCACACACCACCAAGGAGAGCAATGACAACTCCAACCTGATTGTGGTTGAAGACATGCAGCCCTCACAAGCCAGCACAACCACCCAGGCATTGAGCTGGATTACAGACTTGCCAACCACCATGTAAACTCTGAAATGGGCCTGGGATCAGACAACAAGGGCCTGGAGTTCCCTGTCATACCCCTGTCCCCCTCATCTTCAGCATCCCTGCCAGCACATTCCCAACATGAAGCCAGTGTCCCACCAGATCCAACCCACTACAAGACAAATCCTGCTTCCAGAGATGGTAAGTGTCAGCCCACCATTACAGTTGGGTAAGTAGAGGTCGAGCAACAGGGTTGGGGGGAGGGGGCAGGAAGGGTGAAGAGCCAGAGCACTCCCAGTGAAACCTCAATGACTTGTTGGGTAGTTGAACCGCAGTCCCCTTCCCTCCAACCCATTCCCCTGCAGAACTGCAGTTTGAGTCTGTGCTGCAACTGCATGGCTGTACTTGGGGACTGCATCACTGTGCTCCCTTGGCCATGCCCCGAACCGTAAAGGTAATGAACTAATAGCTACCACTATGATTAAAATGGACAATCAATGGAACTGACATTGTTTCTGTATTGTGGGTCCCAATTCAGTTAGGCAGTGATTGATGCCATTTAGGGTAAGTGCCCACTTAATGCTTCATCTTTCCCCCTACCAAAAACACAACAGCAGTGGTGCACAGCTACAGGGACCCTCCCTGCTGTTCCTAGCCTCCTGCCCAGAACTCAAGGTAAGATATTAATCCTGGCTTCACATCCAGGTGTCAGGACAATGTACCGCTTCCCTTCCCTTCCCTCCCCTCCCCTCCCCTTTGCCAGCACCTTTGGTTTTTTCCCTTAGATCCCGCCTCGAGAAAGTTGCAGCCTTCATTCCCATGCAAACAACTCAGTAAAACAGCCACTTGGTCAACTGATGCAGACCACCATGGCAGTTCATGTTCTCCTGTAAGTGGCCACAGCATTGGTAGCACTATCCCGGTCAAAGGGGCCCTGGATTCATGTGGGTAGTTGAAGTGAAGGAGAAGTAGCAGACCCTCAATGCTGAAAACATTTTCAGCCCCCCCGATTCTCCAGCACCTCTCACACAGCGCATACGGTTGTAGGCTCTTCACAACAACAATTGGCCAATACCCTCAAGGCAGGAGGGGGCATAGGGAGGGGGTTGCTTGCTCCCTTTGCATTCTCAAGCTGTGCATGTTGAGCAGTGCAGCAGCCGCTTCTCTTCAGTCTTTGCAAGTTATTGGCTACCAGTTAAACTAGACACAGATTGATCCCACCCCAGAGTGTCCCAGCTGGGGCATGCAAGGTGGTCATAGCATGTACTGCCACCAATGCTTGTCCATGGTCAGGCACAGGATTAAGGAGTCGCACCACTATGTGACATGCAACCCACCAGGCAGCACGCAGAGGCCAAGCTGCTGTTGCTGAGCATATAAGCGAGACATTCAAGGAGTCCGTGAGAGTTGAGCAGGAATCCACAGATCACCTCACATCTTTCCTGAACCTGCAGAAGGTATCCTTGCCACTCTCTGCATCACCCCACAGTTTAACATACAAGGGGGACAGTCCAGCAGCTCCTGGGGACAATGCTGCCCCTGGGCTTCCCTGTCCTACAGGGCTCCCCCACAGCAAGAGCAAGCAGCCTGCAGCTGTCAGGCAAGTAGTCCTACCCCCTGAACAGGTGGGGTGTCCAGCAGTGGCTGCTGCCAGGCTGTGGCTGCATCAGATCTGTGGTAATTCACATTAATGGGGAAGTGATGGGTTTCACCAATGTGGGTTTATAGGGTTATTGGGTATTTTTTTTATAATCCATTTGTTTACTTGTTCCACTAACCTCCCTTCACATTTCTGTTGTGCTGTTTAATAAATGCTGTGTCTCTTGTCAAAACTGTGGAACTGTGGCCGTGCCATTCACTGCATGCATGGGGCAAGACAGTTTCAGGGGCATGGAAAGCTCCCCAAAAAGCTGCTTGATACAACCTATGCCTGTCCCAGCACCAGCTGTGTCTCCCTCCCTCCTTCCCTGCCACCCAGAAGCTGGCTCTGACAGCCCAGAACTGATCAAAAAAAAAAAAAAAAGAAGGGTGGGCAGAAGCTGTGCATAGCAACCCAAGATGTTCCTCCTTCCCTGTCCATCTCCCTCCCCTCACCCTCCACCCAGATCTGGAAGGGCAGGGTCTGGAGAAGCCCACACATACAGCACAGGTTTTTCAACCTCTCCTTTCACTGCACCCCTTTCACATCCCCAGAATTACAGCTTAGCACCCAACTGAGTCAGCCCCCTCCTACACAATCCCCACCCCTCAGTACACCCCTGCACATACTGGAGACAATCACACAAGAGCTCAAGTTCAGCCAATAGGGTTTAATTGTGTACCAGGGATCATCCCACTGTTTTGATCCTCAGCCCAGAGCCTGGCACACTAAGTCAGTCAGTGTTCATGCACACAGCACCAGGCAACCAAACTCCATTTGAGAATTTGCAGGCACAGCATCTGAAGGAGCCAGGGGCCAGTCAACCCTCACTACCAGGGGTTGCTCTCTCAGCCTCGCAGATATGCAGCATGAATGCAGGGACCACAAACCAGGACACGTTGCACTCACTGTCATCCACGTGTGACCTCAGAAACTTCAAGTGAGCCTCAAGACCCCAAAAGCACGTCACAGCCTTTCCACGGGTACTGCAGAAAGTGATTAAACAATTAAACAACTGGCTTTGCAAGTCGCAACTTTTGTTGGGGAGTTTCTACGTTGAGACTTGCAAAGCCAGTAATTAAACAATTCCTTCAAGGCATCCAGCGAATGGCTGCATTAGCCAGGGGTGCAGTGAGTAGGTAGAGTCCCCAGTTACTAGCGGGTCCACTGCCTGAAGCACGATCAAGATATAGCCCTTCCAGCTGATGAATTTATGGCCATGATGCACAGGGGAAAGGATAGCAATATGTGTGCCACTGACAGCCCCAACACAGTTGGGGAACCCTAGGCTGGCAAGACCCATCCACGACCTGGGGGTCAGCACAGCATATGATGCACAGGGCCATCCCCCACTGGATCACCAGACACATCTTCAGCACTGCCTCTCTAGCTGTCAGCCTGCCAACACTGAAATGGTTTGCCACGGACTGGAGGCTGTCTGGGGTCACAAACTTCCATACAGCAATGCAACACGCTTCTCCACAGATAAGGGCACATGCATTACTGTTGCCCATAGCCATTACGCGTGAGGCAAGCTTGGCACAGATCTTCACAATGGTGCCCCGGACACGTGGAAGTTTGCATGGCACTGCTCATCATCCCAGGTAGCCATGATAATCCATCCCTACCAGCTGCTGCTCGTCTCCCTGGCCCAGAAACACCGCCTCACCATAAAGTCCTGACCTGAGGCCAAAATATCTTCAGGGCAGCAACTGCTGCCACGGCTTAGGACTACCACGCCTTAGGACTACCACAGATGGCCACAAAATTGCCCACTGCTGGCACTGAGTGCAGACATGAGCTTCTTCCCAACAAGTGCTTCTCCCGTGCTCTTGGAATGAATGAAAGTAGTCATGGAGGCCATCAGAGATGACCAATGTTGTCTTTTCTACTCAGCCTCGCTCCTTTCCTTTTTCATGCCCTTATGATAAGGTACTTGGCAGAATTCGCAGATTCATTAGAATCTGACAGGTCATGCCATAAGCACTTCTGCTATGGCCTCAAACTTGCAACCTCTGGGCTATCAACCACGCACCTTAGCACCCATACCACTTCAGCCCCCCCATAGTCCTGCTTATGAGTCAAGACACTGGGACAGGAAGGTCCACAAGGCAACAGCCAAGTAGGACTCTGTAGCAGCCAAAGGTGGTGGAAGCTCCAGGTCAGTCATTGGTGGCAGCACAAATGCAGTGGAAATACAGGCAGGCAGTCAGGGGCACAAGTTGTGCCGCAAATCAAAGCACAACATTTTGCTACCGACAATTTGAATATCCTACCAGCGCTTTCCTTGACACTGGCGGAGTTGGGGGAACCTACAGGCACTTGACCAGTACAAAATTAGTTGGGATGTGTGCTCACTTGAGCCACTTGCTGCTAAAAGAGTAGCAATGCATCCAGCAACTCTAAAACCAACTGGAAGGGCAATGTGTGGGCATGCCAATCCAACAACTTCTCCATTCTCTGGTCCCAGAATAAAAATGCAATATCTGTTTATAGTGTTATTTCAACCCCTACGCACTCTCCCTAAATCATCTGAGACCAATGCTTACCCAGTCTCTTCTTGAAAACCTCCAGTGAAGAAGATTTTACAACTTTCCTAAGCTCCAGCACCTTACTGAGCAACAGAATACTCCATTTGTGTTTGCAGTTTACTTTTAATTAGCCCTGGCCACTGATCTAAAATGTGCACAGATGTAGTCTGTGCTTGTGCAGGGCACAGTGGGTTTTTTTTTTAGTGTCCTCATCCATATAAAAATTCCTTTAAAATACTTTTAAAAAACAATACAAAGGATTACTCAGCAAAGAGACAAAAAAGGAAAAACATGAGCACCAATAGCACCAAGGCAGACAAGATTCCTTGGGTGAATTTGATATCTTTTATTAGACCAACCCAAATAGTTGGAGAAAAGTTATTAAGCAAGCTTTCGGGTTCAAAAACCCTGCGTCAGGCTAAGGAAGTGTCAGCAGTTGGTGTGTGCTCTTCCTGGATGGAATGAAAAGTAAAGAAGCCAGAGGCTGGGCTGGGGAGTCAGTTGCCAGGCAGATTATAATGTATCAAAAATCCAATGTCTATGTTTAGTCCCTGATCTCTAGTATCCAGCAGGTTGATGAAATGGAGCTCATAGGCTCGTCTCTGGGAAGTGTTGTGTAAGTTTCCCTTGAGGATCAGGACTGAGAGATTGGAGAGAGAGTGGCCCTCCTGTGAGAAATGTGCCCCCACCGATAATTGGGTATTTCTGTCTTTGATGGATTTCCGGTGTGCGTTCATTCTGGTGTGCAGTTGTTGTCTGGTCTCTCCTACATATTTTCCATCAGGGCATTTGGTGCATTGGATGAGGTATATTACATTTCTGGAGGTGCAGCTGTAAGATCCTGGGATGCTGATGGCTCTGTTGTGGGGTGTAGTAATAGTGGAGGTGGTGGTGATGTGGGGGCAGGTTTTGCATTTCTTGTCATGGCACGGTCTGGATCCTTTTGGTGTGTTCTGGGGTTGAGGAAGTTTGCTTCTGGTGATGAGGTTGGCAAGGTTCGGTGCTTGTCTGAAGGCTAGGATGGGTGGCTCTGGGAAGATCTTTTTAAGAATAGGGTCTTTTTCTAATATGGGTTGCAATTTTTTGAGGATTTTCCGTACAGGTTCAAGGGAGGGGTGATACGTCATAACCAGCGGTGTGAGATTTGTGGGTGTTTTTCTTCTGTACTGCAGCAGTTCTTCACGTGGTATCCAGGTGACTCTTTCAAACATGCGATCTACCTCTCTGGAGGAGTGTCCTTGCTGGGTGAAAGCCTTTTTAAGATTGGTGAGGTGGCGATCCCAGGTGTTCTCTTCAGTACAGATGCGGTGGTATCTAAGGGCTTGGCTGTATATCACTGCTTTTTTGGTGTGTAAAAAAAAAAAAAAGGTAAAAAGGTTGGCATACTGTGGGGCCATTTTAGTGCCCATAGCTGTTCCCATCATCTGGAGGAAGTGTTGATTATTAAAAGTGAAATTGTTGTGTGTGAGGATGAAGTGTATAAGCTCAGTGATATCTTTGGGTCTGTATTCTGGGTTGTAATCTTGTTCCTGTAGATATGTAAGGCAGGCATGGATGCCATCCTGGTGTGGGATGTTGGTGTATAGGCTGGTAACCTCATCACCAGAAGCAAACTTCCTCAAGCCCAGAACACACCAAAAGGATCCAGACCGTGCCAGGACAAGAAATGCAAAACCTGCCAACACATCTCCACCCCTCCCTATTACTACACCCCACAACAGAGCCATCAGCATCCCTGCATCTTACAGCTGCACCTCCAGAAATGTAATATATGTCATCCAATGCACCAAATGCCCTGATGGAAAATATGTAGGAGAGACCAAACAACAACTGCGCACCAGAATGAACGCACACCGGAAATCTATCAAAGACAGAAATACCCAATTACCGGTGGGGGCACATTTCTCACAGGAGGGCCACTCTCTCTCCAATCTCTCAGTCCTGATCCTCAAGGGAAACTTACACAACACTTCCCAGAGATGAGCCTATGAGCTCCACGTCATCAACCTCCTGGCTACTAGAGATCAGGGACTAAACATAGACATTGGATTTTTGATACATTATAATCTGCCTGGCAACTGACTCCCCAGCCCAGCCTCTGGCTTCTTTACTTTTCATTCCATCCAGGAAGAGCACACACCAACTGCTGACACTTCCTTAGCCTGACACAGGGTTTTTGAACCCGAAAGCTTGCTTAATAACTTTTCTCCAATTATTTGGGTTGGTCTAATAAAAGATATCAAATTCACCCAAGGAATCTTGTCTGCCTATGTCCTTAGACCAACACGGCTACAACCTAAACCCCTGCCAATAGCACCAATACATTTGAGAAAAAATAAAGAAGAAATAAGATTTACTGGGGAAGTAAAAAACACAAATTTAAAAACACAAGCCTACAAAAAAACTGAAGAAGCACTGACCTTTTCACTTAAATCCTTGTTTTTATGGCTGAGGTAGCATGTGCAGATCTGGCAGAAAAGTCTTAACTCCCTTCTCAATGCCAAGAGAGTCTCCTAAAGCACGTACAGAAGGAGAGGACACAACTTAAAGATTTGACAGGTAAATTCTCAAGTGAATAAACTCAAAACATTGTACTTTTGTCTCAAACAATGTAATTCATTCAAACAAGAAACATGCTGATGGTAAGGACCTGAATTGGCTCAATCTTTTACTTGCATCAGTTGTCCGATTATAAAAAATTACTATGCTCTGTCTTTCTAACAGAGATCACATCTGTGATAGGACTTACAACCCATAGCCAAAAAAAAATCTATTTTTCCTAATCAGTGCTAGAAGTGACAGATGCTGGGACATATAAACTCTTTAAACTGGTACTCAGATTCATACTGTTGTACTGGGCAACTCTCTGATTTAGGGGATTTTTCCCCATGGGTGTCTACCAGTATCTAATCATCAGCCCTTCATCACAATGCCAGCAAGGCACCTTTCAAAGTTAATGAAATAAGCCTCGCACATCCCTGTGAGATGGATAACACCACCCATTCTACAGAAGGGAACTTTGGCACAGAGAGGCCACATTATTTTCCCGTGATCACATACAAAGTTTGTGTTCTATTTGTTTACTTGTGGTAAGAACTTAAGCTTCGTGTAAATGAGTGCAGCTCTCTTTGAAATCAATAAGAGTGCATGTTTTTACATCTGAGCTAAATTTCTTGAGATTTAAAATAAGGAAGAAGGAGGATCCACTTTTGTGTAAGCCAGGAAAGAAGAGAGAAGAGAAGAAGAATGCTATGAACTGATGGAGAAAATGGTGCCAGAGTTGCTTTACAGGAGCAAAATGTTTTGAACACTGGCTGCACCCCTGCTGACACTAGGATTTGGTTGTGTGGGGAAGGATACGGACCTTATACTGCAAGTCTAACCAAATCTGGAGAAAGGAGAGAATTCAAAAAGCTGCTATATCAGTCAGGAAAGCTGAGTTTTATCAGAGTTGAAATGTTTTAAAGAGATGATGAGCGTGGAAAGCTAGCCAGAGGCAGGAGCAGAATGTCATCCAGGCACAGGAGTTCACCCTTCCTAGGCTGTTCTCATCAGATCTGTCCTATCTAATGCACTTCAATCGAACAAAAAAAAATAAAGATATGGACTTCCCTGTTCATTTTTTATTCTGTAGAGGATGTTGGACTGAAGAAAGTAGTTTTCAGTGCAGCCAGAAACCTCTATGAAAGGTAACAACTCGAAGTTGTTGTTTCTGCTTTTATAGGAATCAAACCATATAAGTTTGCATCTTTTTAAGAGGAAACTGAAATGTCCCTAACATTAAAAAATATCAAATTGTTTCCCTGAACATTACCTTTGCTTACAAAAAAAGAACATCTAGCAAGCAGTTTTTGTCTCTATCCAATGTCAGGATTTAGCAACGCATATGCATGCACTAAAAACCCAAATGAGCTGGTTAAATTATGCCCATGCAAAAGGTTAATATTGGAAGAAGTACAGACTTTTGTAAAGATTGAGAGAGACAAATGTCTGAACTGATTTTGCTTTCTCCAAGGAAATATGCATATCATCTGCTTGAGAAAGCTTGTCCCTGCCAGCCATCAAAAGGTAGGAAAATCTATTTAAACCTTTAAAGCATAACCCTTGGTTTCACAATCTTTTTCAGGGGCCAACCTTGGAAGAAGGCCTCTCCCCAACTGCAACCAGCTGCCACAGGAGAGCAAAGTATGTGCACTGTAAAGCTGGTAGAATCATCTGCAATTAAAAAAAGACATAGAACTCTCTTTTAATAATATGAAATGCCACAAAGCAAATGCTCAGAACTAAATGAAAAAAACAATCAGTATCTTACCCTCTGCATGCTGCTTCTACTGCAGCACGAGGCACTTCATTTCCCAAAACACACACAGTCGGTTTATGTTTAATTAACTATGACCTCCCTAGAAACTTTGATTCTGTAAAACACTTAAGTTTCCTCAACTTCAAATGGAACTTACTTATGTGCCTCCATGCTTTGCTAAATTAGAGCTCAGATTTAGGATCATAGGAAAGTAGGACCTCACAAAGTCACCTAGTCCAGCCCTCTATTCAGGGCAGGAACGTACACGACTAAAACACCCCAGCCAAGTGTCTGCCTAACCTGCCCTTGAACATTTAAAAGGATGGAGATTCCACAACTTCTCTAGGTAACCTGTTCCAGTGCTTGACTAACCTCATAGTCAGAAAGCTATTAGTGCCTAGCAGAGCTCATCACCTCGCAATCCTGGACAGCATCTCTATCTCAGAACAGAATGTTCAGACTGACAACACACCGTCTATAGTTTAGATCAAGACTGTCAAGCTCAACCCGTGCCCCGGACCAAACCCAGACCACGATGCTCCTCACAGGCTGGATCTGGGGCAAGCAGTAGCTGCAGCAGGGCCAGCAGTGGAGATAAAGACCCAGTGGGGCAAGCAACTAAATGCCATGGAAGAGGCAGCACAAGTAGCAGTGGCAGCAGGGCAAGTGACAGCAGGTCAAGCAGCCACAGGGCAAGTAGGGCTCTATCAGTACAGCCCTTGCTTGCCAAGGATCCATGTCCAGCAGAGGCCTTAGATCTCAGATTGCAGAGCAGACTACTACCCCAAATTCTTTGGCTAGCCAGTAGGTTGGCAGACCAGATGGAGCAGCTCTGAGGCCAGATCTGGCCTGCAGGCTGCATATTCGATGTCCATAGTTTAGATAACAGTTGACCTGTAAATTGGCTTCCCCCAAAAATTTCCCTCTGCAGGTAAGAGGGCAAAGTATTTCCACTTCTGATTAACAGCAAACTACTAATAATTCATTGATTTTCTCTCTATTAAGGGCAATATTGTGGAACCAAGAAAGAAAGACCTTTCTACTAATCTGTGCTGAAGACTAATCCAACTTGGGCCACGATTTGACCCCGCAGCCTTGATCAAACTCTGTTTTAAATTCAGTTATGGTATGAATCCACTGACATTTTTATACACAGTGTATACAACTGGCACAACGGGTCTCATCTTGGGAAACTGAGACATGTAAATAATTAACACATGCCTACCTCACAGGACACTGATGTAATGGATCATGAACATTTGCTTTGAACCGCAAGCACAGTATTATTAGTGGTAATGACCAATACTTTACCTGAACAGGTAAACTTCCATGCTCCATTTCAAAAACCAGCAGCTCTGAAGTCTTGTCATGGAGATTCCACTTGGCAAGGTCATGTGCACTGCAAGCCAAAAAGAAAAGAAAATACCAGAGTCAGAAAATTGTAAAGAGAAGAGATACACATGGTATTTCCATTTATCCTGTATCTCACCACATGCAATCTGGTCTTTAAAAAAATCACCACAGATTCTTGTTTTATGGAGGGAAGGTGATGACTTCCATCAATACCTTGATCTATTAACAGAAATAAGAAAAAAAATATTCCCTGTCTATTGAACAGGTTAAATCTTTTTCTTTTGCCAGCACTAACTGAAAACCAACATCTTCCACTGAACTCTCTCTCGCAATCACTCCAAAAAAAGGTTTTTTCCCTCAATGTCACAGATAACTTTTGTTCTTATGATACACAGAATTGGTTTAAACTGGGAATAAATGGCTTTCTACTATTTATGTTACTATGTATAGATTAGACCAATGATTCTCAACCAGGGTATTACTAGGTGCAAGGAGATATGCAGATAAGTGCAGGCTCCCTTAGTCTTGGCCAATTATCCACCCCCACTGCCTGGCCCTTCTGCAAGAAAGCAAGAACTGTAATATATAAATTAGTTTTTGAAATTGGGTGCCACTCAATTCACAAAAGCTATGGAGGGGTGCCTTGATTCCAAAAAGTCACTGACCCACTGGATTAGGCTCAGGCAGGCAGGGAATTTCCCTAGAATTTGCTAACAAATGCTAAAAACTTGTCATTTGTTTTCCTCCTCAGCAATGAAATCTGCTGAGGCGGCAGCTCCTGAGATGTCCCAATATAAAGAACTTCTGAAAAAAAACAGGGAAAGAAAGGACAATGTCACTTCAGTATAACCTAATTTTAAGCATGCATTGTCTCAGTGGTTATCATTCTGTCTTGTTTCTGTTACAAAACATGCAGCTTGTGTATGGAGAGGAAATGGAAACAGAAGGAAAGAAACAGAACATCTGCACTTTCTGTACATTCCAGGAACGGTCCCAGAATTCCCAAAAAGACTGCGGGTTTGACACCAAGATTATCTCCAATGTTACAAAACACCTACAGGCTGCACAGAATAAGACAGCTAGCGCCTCTTTGAAATGACAGGGCAAACTTAGCCATGTGTGATGAAGGGAAAGCTACTCCTAGCCTACAGCTCAATTCCGGCACCCTCAGGCACCTCAAGTACTTGGCAAGTAGTCCCAAATAGGTCACTGCAGAGGTTCTACTCAAGGTCAGTTAGGGTTGAAAAAATTGCCATCAGATACCAAACAAGAACATACTATGCTCCAGAAAAGCCATGCTTCTGGGAGACTTGCTCTTTAACAGATACAGACCAGAGCACATCAAGCATATTGCTCTCATTGCTTTCTCTGCAGGCTGCCTGCCTGCCTTGATGTAAGGCATCCTGCTGAGAAGGCAGGCACTGAAACAGCCCAAATGAAAGGGCCTTCATGTACACACTGTCACCCCAACCTAACAACACTTTGAATGCAGACATGCCATCTGCTTCAAAACTGACCCTTAAGATCAGTCAAGCGAGTTCAAAAGAGCTCCTTGCAAGGAGAGTACACCCATACTTAGGAGCGTCTAGAAACCAGAAGGGGGAAAAAAGTACTCCTAAGAAAGGAATTCCCCCGAACTATTTTACATGCTACCACCTCACCTAGTGACGGTTTGAAAGTTTTGTTAAGCAACCAACAGCAATTCCTGTTTTACAGCAGCTTGGTGTGGCTGCACTGTGCAGGGAAAGGGAAATGAGAAATTGTGTAAACAAACATCTCACTTATGAAAAGCTGCTATTCTTCTCAAAGCAGAGCATATTCGGGAAATTCCTTCTTCACCTGTACAAAGACCTTCCTCCTAAATCACAGGAGTCAGGAAAGAGAAAAAAACAAGGAGGGTGTTAAGAGTAGTCATTAGTTCCTCTACTAACTGCAAGCTTAAATTACACGACTTCCCAGCTTTGGAAACTACTTGGCCTTTGACTATATTTCTCATACCTTCCCTATGATTGAAAAAAAAAAATCTTACATAAGGTGAGAAGAAATTGAAAATCTAGGAAATGCCACACTATTATACTTGCATTATAACATCACCAGCCCTCAACCACCCACAGCTGCCTTCCCAGTCCCAAGCACAGATGCTAACTACAAGGCAGCCCCATTCAGGAGTCCTCCAAATCTGGCCTGCAGACAACTACTAGCCCAGGAAGCACTGGCTAGAGGTCCACAGGGAACTAACTGTTCACGTGGTGCTGACACTCCTCATTTTCAGGTACCACACCACATTAAATGTTTGCCTATAAATGCAATTGCAATAATATCTGATCAAGGGAGGTGGCCCTTTGAACAGAGTTAGGAGGGTAGGGTTCCACAAGATAACCTCTTATGTAGTTGTGGCCCATACTAGGATAATGTTTAAAAACCCCTATCTTATCTTGTTTCTAATAAAATACATGTACTCAGGGGGAGGGGAGAGAAGGTGTCTATTTATACCAGGGGTGGCCAACCTGCAGTTCTGGAGCCACATGCAACTCTTCAGAAGTTAATGTGCATCGCCTTGAATATTTGCACAAGCAGACAGTGATCAGCTTCCATTTGGGCATATATATTTGGAAGCTGGTCACCGTGTGCTTGTGAAAAGATTCAAGGAGATGCATATTAACTTCTGAAGAGCCGCAAGTGGCTCCAGAGCTGCAGGTTGGCCACCTCTGATTCATACCATCATAACAAATCCAATATGGTAGAGTGAGGGATCGTAACATGTTTACAGCATCCCAGCATCCAGTAAAAATCCACTCACATAGGTTTTGGCATGACACCTGTCGGCGATGGCACAGCTGATCAACCGCAAGCTCTCACTGTGTTCACACAGCAAGCTATTCATATCTCCACCAGCTGCTTTTACTTTTTCAGAAATAACAAAAAATTTGCAGTCCTCTTTCCACAGAGCAGGAGACACTTTCAAAGACCCTAAGGCTATCTTATATGATGTGGTATTCCCAACAGAATTATCTTTGAGAAAGGAAATTGTGAACTTCCTGCTTACTGCCAATATGTACCTGGACAGAATGACACCTTCTCTAACATATATGTTTAACAGAACTGTAGTTATTTGATCATAGATGGCATTTTCAAACAACACCATTACATACAGCACACTGTAGCCCAGGGGTAGAATATCCATTGGTGCTCTGGCTGGAAGAATCCACAGCATTGCAAATACAGAAACAGCCCATTCCCTTCTGTCATAGAAGACACCAGCCATTCCCTTCCACCCTCTTCCCGTCAGGATACAATCTTCAGTTCTTTAAAATGTAAATAGACAGCCCTTTCATAGAGTTCAGGCTGTGTCTGTAAGCTTTGTTCCCTCAAGCAAAAATAAACCAGAATGTTTCAAGACTGCATCTCTCTCTCTACTTGTTTTTTGATTCAGAAATATTTCATGTATTTCCACATTCACTCGCACCTCACGCCAAGAGTCATGCAGCAGCTGGTTAAGCTGGTCCACCAACTCGTCTATCAGTTGAGTCCTAGCAAGATCCACTCTGTTGTGAATGGCCAGATCTCCACTGCAGAGGATGTCATACATCCTAGAGCACGCCTCGAGGACATCCATGTCTGAGTGTTTGCACATAATGTCTTTCACCTCTTTGAGCAAAGCATCCAAATGCTGCAAGTAATAAACAAGCATCATAATGACAGTTAAGTCATGTTTATGCCCTTTAATATTTCAGATATAAAAAGTGCCTTATACTCCTTTTAATTTTGTATCAAACAAAATCGCAATTTGAAAATGAGAGGGGGGATTACAGGACAACTTCACTTGCTGCTTTAGATCTTTGAGCCCTGTCTTATCATCACTATTTTACCATCTTCTTATAACCTTAAAAGAACAATTTCAGCTCCCAGTATAGCACTATACCGGTGGTTTTACCTAATGACAATGGCAGAGGACAGGGAGGTGAAAGAGTGCTATGAAGGATAGACACTTGACACTGAAAATTGCCAGCTTAATTAACTAAAGAGGAAGTATGTTTCAGATCTCCCGCTGTTCTGTTAGAGAGTCATTCCCATGTGTGGGCCACTGGCAGTATAATTTGTTACATAGATAGAACCAGATACAAGCACATTTCTGTCATACTGCTAATTCTTTGTCTCCCCCAACTAACGTCTTAGGCTAGAAATGTTCAAGGATGTATTTATTCCCTTTGCTAAAATTAACCTCCTGTAAATATCCCTAACAGGGCAAATCTTCCCCAGTTTTCCAAATCCGTCCATTTTGCTTTTCCAAGTTCATCCATTTGTGACATGGCTCTTCCATGCACAGATACAACTAACCTCATTCTTCTCTTGCAGTTACTCCTGGCAACTGGAGGTAAGACAGTCTCCAGTGAGAATACTAGGAGCAAGCTGCTAGGAGATGCCAACTTGGATACATGTTGTAACATACTCTCCTCTCCATCCAGCAAAATGCCAAAACACAAAAGCCTAGAATTTATGCAGAAAATGAGGCCTCCTGCATGAAACCATAAATCATTATGCACTGGGGTGCTAAACCAACATAGACAGATGTACATAAACAAGTGTTAAAGCATTACTCTAATGGTCCCGATACAAAATGTATAGTCTGAACAGGAAGACTTCCCTCCAGCTATATTTCTTCAGACCCATTAAGTCTTACTAAACCCTGCAACTGTTACCAAGTACCATAAAGCCCCATAAATTGTTTCACATATTTGGGATCTTCCACATATACCAGGTACCCTGATTCTTATTCACCTTTTCCAGATGTCCAGTACTGTAAGCCTCTAAATCATAATACTGAGGGATTGGCAAGAGGTTTACCACTTTTTCAGCATCTGCTGAATACTGCAGAGGAAGAGACAGGATATGAGTGCAGTGCAGGAATGTTAATGAAATTTTTAACATGTGCTCATGGAGCAGCTGCTCGTTACCTTTGCCAAGAGCTGAGGAAGAACCACAATAAAGTGTTCAGTAATTTTGGTACAATCTTCCAATTGTATTTTCTTTTCTTTCACTGACAGGATCTACAGAGAAAGCATTTTTTTCAATTATACAATACTCTCAGGTTTGAGTGGGATTTTACACTTACCCCACGGTAGAAAGTATACTGATATGTGAGGTTAACTAACACAAACCACTAGGCTGAGGTACAAATATTTTTTTCCCTTAGATTTACGCAGCTTTTGAAAAAAAAAACTGGAATTAGATTTCAACAGACAAAGTGTTCTGTTTGGATGTGGACTACTGTATAACTCTATCGACTAACAGATAAAAATGGCTTCTGTGTATCATTAACATGCTTCCACTGAGCTGCGCTTCCACTCAAAGCTCATCTCAATCAATATCTATTGCTAATAAAATGTTTTGTTTGGAGGCCAAGGTTTGGCTTGTAAAAGCAAACTGCTTTCTTTCCAAAGTACCTGCCATTAGTGCACATAGGAAGGACAGATTTGACTGCAACACAATAAAAAAAATTAGAACGAAATCCACCGACTTTCTTGGCTGCTCCTCTGCCCACGGGAGGGTGACCTTCAGCAGCTTCTCGAACAGTCACTAGGATTATTTCAATCAGTGCACTTTCCTGGGCCCCGCTCAGTGCTGTAAGCAAACCACAATCTCTTTTCAGTGTCACACCAAAGCAAACTGAAGATGCACTTGCAGCTAACAAAAAAAGCTTACTCCTTCCTCAAAACACCTCTGAAGTGATTTTAAAGGGAAGAGAAAAATTGAGTTAAGTCCAACCTGAAGATGAGCTGAAACTATCTGCAACATTTTGCAAAGCACAAAAGCAGTAATTCCCTATTAAAGCCAGGTAAGTGCAGATAGGCAGTTGGTCAGGGGTGTTGGTTGTAGCTGTGTTGGCCTAAGGATATAGGCAGAAAAGTTTCTTTCGGTAAATCCATTATCTTTTATTAAAACAACTAAAATAGTTGGAAAAATTCTTCTTTCCAAGCTTTCAGGTACAAACACCCTTCTTTGGACAGGTAGTGGTATTTTCCAAAGAGCTTCAGTGACCAATACCTACTGAAAATCCCATGAAGTGCCAGTCTGAATCTTTACCTAGATCCCATTAAAAAAAACTGGACCTACACATTTTAAATCAACCTCTCAGAATTTCCTCTGGTTCTGCCATAATAAATACTATTTAAAACAAGTTAAGATAGTTTCACAATTAAACAATCCCTCCAACGACTGCATTTCAGTGAACTGGTACACTTAAGTTCCTCAGATCAATCATGAAAACCAATAAACTCAATACCCCTGCCTTGAAATGTAAAGGAAAATCAAGATTTCTAAATAGGAAAGAACTTTCATGTAGTAGTCTTTTATTCTTTTCACCTTACAGTAAAGTTAGTCTGTTTGATTCACCACAAGTCTGGAAAAGGGCCAACATGGTCCCTATTTTCAAAAAAGGGAGGAAGGAGGATCCAGGTAACTATAAGCTGGTTAGTCTCACCTCTCTCCTTGGGAAAACCTTTGAAAAAAGTATTAAGGAACACATTTGTGGGAGTGCAGCAGAAAAAATAATGCTGAAAGGCACAACCAGCATGGATTCATAGCAGGTAGATCCTGCCTGACTAACCTTGTTTCTTTTTATGACCAGGTCACAAAATGCTTAGATGCAGGAGTCAAAGTAGATGTCATTTACTTGGATTTTAAAAAGGCCTCAGATATGGTGTCTCATCCCATTCTTATAAATAAACGAAGTGGCTGTGACATAGATGATTACATGGTCAGGTGGATCTGGGTACATACCATTGGCTTATGGTATGTAACCAGAGAGTGGCAGTGGGCAGGTCGGTATCGACCTGCAAAGATGTGGGCAGTGGGGTCCCCCAAGGTTCAGTCCTTGAACCAATGCTGTTCAATATCTTCATCAGTGACTTGGATGAGGGCATGGAGAGCACTCTGTCCAAATTTGTAGATGACACCAAATTATGGGGCAAAGTAAACACATGGTGGGCAGGGAGCAGATTCAGGTGGATTTGTATGGGTTGGAAAAGTGGGCAGAACAGAACAGGATGCAGTTTAACAAAGATAAGTGCAAAGTGCTGCACCAAGGGAGAAAGAATCACCAACACATATACAGATTGGGAGATGACCTTCTAGGTAGCACAGCGGCAGAAAGGGATCTCAGAGTCATAGTCAACTCCAAAATGAACATAAGTCATCAATGTAACAAAGTGATAAGTAAAGCTAACCACACTCTATCATGCATTAGCAGGTGCATCACAAACAGGTCTAAGGAGGTGATACTTCCCCTCTATGAGGCACTGGTAAGGCCACAGCTGGAGTACTGCATCCAGTTTTGGGCGCAGCACTTCAAGAAGGATGTCAATAACCTTGAAATGGTCCAGAGGTGGACTACTCATATGGTTAGGGACCTGCAGGTAAGGCCCTACAAGGAGAGATTGAGGGACCTGGATCTCTTCAGCCTCCACAACAGAAGGCTGAGGGGTAACCTTGTGACCATCTACAAATTCATTGGGGGTTGGGCAGCAAGGAATAGGAGATGCTCTGTTTACCAGGGCACCACCTGGGGTAACTATAACCAATGGCCACAAACTGAGCAGATTTAGGTTGGACATCAGGAAGAGCTTCTTCACAGTAAGGGTTACCAGAATCTGGAATGGGCTTACAAGAGAAGTGGTGCTCTCCCCTACCCTGGAGGTCTTTAAGAGGAGACTGGACAAGCACCTGGCTGGGGTGATCTGACCCCAGCGCTCTTTCCTGCCCAGAGCAGGGGTCAGACTCGATCATCTACTGAGGTCCCTTCCAACCCTAAAAATCTGTGAAATATATGAAGTCACAATTACAGTACACATATGGTGTAAATCAATGATATCTTCAAACTCTTCAGAGTAAATGTATTTTGGAATTTCATGGGAATTTCACTGGCTTTATTTAAAGCAGATTTTGCAGTATTTCTCAATTAGGACAACTGGTTCAGTGTCATTAGGATTAAACTTCCCCAGAAGCTAACGGGTCAAAGTTTATGAAATGCTACTAACTTTAATCAAATTCTATCCTCTTCTACCAGGATTGGAAGTTGACTCATCTTCTACCAAGACCACACCTGACTCCTCAGACCCATCTATATGGCTCTTTTGCAGTCTAGAAACAGGACTGAAGCTTCTCTCATCTTTAAAGCAGAAAGTCATTGGATATCACAGTGCTCTCAGTGTTGCTCAACATGCAACCTAACTGTTGTTACATTGCATTGGATTCACTAGAATCTTTTCTTAATCGGCCAAACTCCCAAGAAAGTGAGAGGAAAAAGAAGAAAAAACATCTTTCGCTATCCACTTTCCAGAGGACACAAAGGAAGGACAAAGGAAAAATAAAAGATAAGGGGAAGAAGAGCCATAAATACTTATGGCATAACAACCTGACAGCACTTCACAAGAATTCATAAGTGCATAAACATACAAGAATTCTGAATCATGACAATCAAATAATTTGAAGTAATATTGGCAGGACACTGAGCCAAGTTGCTCTCCAAAGTTAAATAACCTTGTTTTAACTGAAAACAAAACAAGTTTCTTCCAAAAAGCAACAGGAGTTCTTTTGGCAACACAAAGCATTTTGCCCACCTACCTCCGTCTTCTTCAGAATCTTGCAACAAAAGGCTCGTCATACATGCCCAATCCTTCAACAGACTGGCCGCCCAATCCCATAGGCTGTCTACAAGGTATGCAACATGTTTGTGTAGCTAGAGATTAAAAAAAAAAACACAAGACTAGAGAACTAAACACTGTGTGAAATCTGAATATAGTTGATCATATAGTGCTCACTCCCTCTCCAGCTAGAAAGCTGAGCCATTCATTCATGTTATGTATATACATGCATATGCAATTCTTCAAGCATGTTAACTGTTGACCAGACCCAAATTAAATACCAATTCTTCAGTCTGATATATAAGGAATAGCAAGATGGGGAAGGGAGAGAGATACTTTTAAGGGCAGAAAGATATTTTAAGTAGTCTCCCTAAATTACCTTGCTTATTACTGTTAAATTACTGTTAACAATGTCTAAAATTCCCATTGCCATGTGGGGCCTTGATGTCAGATACACTTCAGGGCTACATGTTAGTTGCCTCAACTTCATTTAGTCCTATTGGACTCCTCTGCCACGCATTTTTTTTTCTTTTCCAGAAAGCCAGTTCAACATTAATACACATGGAAAATAAATGGCTTGGTATGACAGAACACAGCTGCACACCTCTGCTTCACTCCAACTCATCCTACAAAGTTGAGAAACCAAACAAAGCCTTTCAAGAGAAAGTCTTTGCTTTGGACACAGAACAATATCCAGCAACACTCTAGCACCAAGTCTCAGGCAGGTGCAGTGGACTTGAAAGGCTCCCACTGATCTTTTCATCTATGACTGTCAACATCATCCTCACCTCACTCTCCAAGAAGAAAGCTATTAGAATTCTCAAGTGACTGGCACTGGGCTCAAATTTCCCTCTACTTTTGGGCAGACCTTCTCCATCTCCCTGATTATTAAGCAGCCTGTGAATAGAAAAAGGGAAAATATCAGTCCAGTTCTCCTATGTACCTTCTGCTCACTCTGCAGAACACAAGGATTCTGTCAAAATTTCAGGAAGATTTAATTCTTTCAAGTTCTCTTCACCTATTCCACAAACATATCCTATCTTCCTGTAAGCTGGGAGGAAGGAGAGAGAGATTATTTTCAGTTAACAAAGTTCTGCCATCTCTGTGGATGCAGGGACCACCAGTGATTATTTATACCCATGGCTGGCCAGTGCACTGGATAACAGACAAATTAAACCTAGTAACAGCACATCATGAGATATGCCTCAAACCTTTAAGGATGCCTGGTCTCCACAATAATTTAAAGGTTATCACAATGATAAATATGGTTCATGGGAAAATATTACTGCTCAATGATAATTTGTATTATGGATGGCTGCTGGATGGACCATCCATCCAATGAATAGACATGGATGGACAAACCAATGCTCTTAAAGAAAACCCAGGATTGTGTGTTTCCAACAGGTGTTTTATCCAAACTGACAACTACACTGGGAAAAGTACACTCCTTGCATTGCCCAAGGTGTAGCATGACGGTCCTTTGTGATTTCAGTTTTCTCCTGCTCTCCCCACAGAAATCAGAGTGAGGTTGCTGCTCATGAAAGATGACAATTTAAGTCCTGGCACTCATGGATGAGCAGAGCCCGCCAGGTCATGCCTCCAGAAAATTAACAGGCCACAGGACTGAAAATTAGGGTACTATAGAAAAAGATTTGCCAGCATAGTTATGTCAGTAACCCTTCCTAATGGACACCAGCTTAAGCCAGAAAAAAAAAAGAATAGTATAATCCAGCCCAATAAGCAAAATAAACTAATACTGATGACCCTACCTCAGGAGTGGGCAAAATACAGCCTGCAGGCCAGATCCAACCCACCAACAGTTTCAATCTGGCCCATAAGTGGACGGCTGCCAACTCACTAGATCTGGCCCGCAGACGTCTCCAGTGGCTCTGGCTGCCACAGGCTGCCGGGCAGGCAGGTGGGACCACTTCTGCCCAGCAGTATAAGACATCAACTGTACACCCAGGTGGGCAGTGGCATCAGTTGTGGACACCGCAGGCAGGCTCAGGAGCTCGGACACAGAACCTGCCATGGTGTCCACAGCTGACCCAGTGCCCTCCTAGCACGGTGGAAGCTACTGCCTGGAGCCCCAACTCAAAATAAAGGAGGCAGATGGGAAAAGAAACAGAGAAGAAGAGAAGAGAGCAACAGAGATGGATGTGGCCGATAGGTCCCTAAAACTCATTAAGTGGCCCTCTGACTGAAATAATTGCCCACCCCTTCCCTACCCCGTTCCCAAATGTTTTTGCTAGTAAACTGTATGTATTGTTCAGAAAAATGTACCTAGGGCTTTGACCAGTATAGAAATATTACCCAAAAAAAGCAATGTAGGGCTAGGGGATGAGATGAAAGACTTCACATAAAAGGGTTGTTTTTGGCTCCATAAACCTTAGTTAGTTTAGCTGAGTGGGAACAGACAGCAAACAGGAGGGTGTACGCAAGTGTGTGTGAGAATAAGCAGTCAGTTTTTAATTTTGCCCCTCCACAGCCTTACCAAAAAATAAAACTTTATTCTTGCAAAACAAAATAGAAAATTCAGTCCAGCCATAGATACAGAATGTGTACTAACTCCCTTTTTAGCTTGCCAGTCCGATTCATTTCATGCAACCGTTGTTATAAAAAGCCCATTTATAAGAGTTACTCCTGGGGGCTTAAATCCTGTACTTCATTAACTTGACTGAAAATTGTGAGGGCTTTTTAATCTGCTGAAGCTCTCATTAATCCAGGGCTTTACAATGTATAAGGCAACTTCCAGAGGGAGAAGAGGAGGCCACCTTTGCGATTAATCACAAACAGCTATAAAAATCCAGCAGATGCGAGGTGATGAATTGGCTCATAAGAAGCAAAACGTCAGGGAAACAATGTATAAGGGAAGGCTGCATGGTCCTCCAATTGAGTCAACACCTGTGGATTAGTCAGTTGTTTTATACTTTATTTATTCAGCCTTGTACTTTTCTTATGCTTGTTTAACAGACCTGGGCTAGGCAGGAAAACAAATGCTTAGCCCCAGATTTCTGATTCAGCAGATGAATGCTAAAGAAAGTACATCTGGTACCCTCCCGACATCCATCATATCAATGGATAATGTCCCTCTTAAACCCACATTCACTGGGAACCAAAGCAATGGTGATGGAATATGCAAAAGTAGCCAAGCAACAATACCTTTTATAAAGGAATTCCCCAGCTGCTACTGCCAGTGGTCTGTGTGTCGTATAAACAAACTGGTATAAGGTTTCACAGTCTTCAGATGACAATGCATCCTCACAGTTCCTATGCAAAGAGATAATGCAAGTTATTATGCATGTTAGCTGGAGAGGATTTTATGTATCCCAACTGATCTATAACAGTGTATCTCAACTCGTGGGTCACGACCCAAAAGTGGGCCACAAGAATATATGAAAGGATCATAAATAAACTTTAAAAATGGTTCAATCTTAAAAAATGGATTCTCTTTTAAAAGAGAAATATGTGGAAAACCCTGGCTTTTCCCCTGCAGGCTGGCAGTTTCAGCCTGCAAGGGGCTGCTTGGGGACCCCCTCTGCCGCACACACCCACTCCCTGCCCCACACCCTTGAGGGATGGGGCTTGGGGGCAGGAGGCAGCAGGTCAGGAGTGAAGGGCACTGGGTCAGGACTGGCCATCAGTGTTTCCTGGTTGAGCACCACTGATCTACAATATGTTTTGAAGAGGGCACTTGCTGCGTTGACATTAAAGACATAAAAACAAGTATTTGATTGGTTTATTCTGTTCCAGTCTCCATGGTTTGTTCATACAAAAGTCTAGCTAGCACAACCCTTTACTTTTGTAAGTGCCATCATATGTGCCTACTATCCCTCAGCATAAGTATATCTTGCAAAACAAAGACAGACTCCGCTCAGACAGAATATTCAATACAAAGTTATGGCTTATGTCTGAGACCCTGCAGGATGTTTGCCCATACACTCCACAGATATATTTATTCTATGCTGCTAGACTAATATTTGCATCTATCCTATTTTAATTTTTTTAATTAATCACTGAGTAGTTAATAATGTATTTTGCAACCAATGATGAAGATATTTGACCATTACTCAGCTAAGTATTCACAATTCCTCCCCTTCCCTCCCCTCCTTGGCAAAACATTTACTTAGTGCATAATTTCTGTTCCACCTATTCCTGTCAATATTTACTCAGAGAGAGACCACATTCTACAAGGAGTCACCAAAACTATTGCACTTCAGAGAGCAGGAGTCAGATTTTGGTTGCAGTCAAGGGCAATCAGCCTGTTGTAAATTGGCCTGTAATGATCAGGGTGCATCATTAACATTTTCACTCTAAAGGCCTGCATACTCTGCCAGTGACCATTAAAAACAAGTTGTCTGAGTGCAACCTGGCAGAAAACACTCTCATTAAAACAACAGGCAACTTTTCAGGAAATGTGAGCAAGTGATACTTAGGGAAACAAGCCATAACGATCACCTTTGTGAATCCTGAGACTTTGTTGGCTATCAGAAGAGAACAGCCCACACAAGAATGCTCTCTCTACAAGCAGAGGGGAGTTAGCCATGTTAGTCTGAAGTCAGGCAGAAGGCAGGGTAGATGTCTACCTTTATAGACTAACTTAGAGATGTGTACACACACTATATATATAGCATAAGCTTTCATAAACAGAGGGCTTACTTCAGATGCTGTGAAAGGACTTCAGGAAACAGAGCTCCTAAACAGAAAGCAGTGATTGCAATACAGAGGACAGGTACAGATAACTAACAACCCTAAGGACAGGTAAGTGGAACTTGTATAGGAAATTACAGAACAAGAAATCATCCACTGAGACTGGACTGTGTTAAGTATGCTCTAAACTGAGAATACAGATTCTTATCCTATTACTTACATTAGCTTTTAAAACCTATGTCCCCCAGTGGGTTATCTGCCTTGTTTCTCTCTCTCCTACCCACCCACCTTGCCTCTCTCAGAAGTGCCCTGCCCTTTTTCCTCCCCTCTTCCCTGCCCTTTGTATTCTAATCACTGCTTTCTATTTAGCTGCTCTGCTTCCTAGAGTCCCTTAACAACATCTGATGGAGTAAGCTCTCTGCCTATGAAAGCATATATACTTCTGATTTAGTTACTTTATAAAGGTGCAAATATATCCTCTTTCTAAGCATCGTGGTGTTTCCAGACCGCTCCCCTACTACCATTTTTAAAACCACAGCCAAAAGTTTCTAGCTTAGTTTCAGAGTTGCTTATAGCAAATATTTAGATGATTATCTCTCCCCAAATTCTAGCGGTTAGTTCTAGGAATTCCTGATAGCAAGATGCCTGTGCTTCTAATATTTAACTGCTAGGAATTCAGATTTGAGGCTGCTGGAGGTTTTGTATTTTAAATTTGTGACTTGTCAAGATGATAAAAGAGCAAGACAGTACAGAGGGGAAACAGAAAAGGGAATCAGCCCCTAGATACAGAGTGGGAACGTGTTTTTAGACATTGTGGGAACATGAACACACACACCCACATACTCACACTTTTGAAAGACTGGTATCAAACTGAAAGGGCAAGTTCTCCATGGTGAAGCTCCTGGAGTCCAGATCATTGTGGGTGAATGTATGAAATGAGAGGATAGTTTTCTGATATCTGTGGCTATTTCTGATATCTCTGGCCATTTCTTGCTTTTTTACAACAACTGTGCTTTCCTCAATACATGTCAAGGAGACAAAGGGGCAGGCATTGCACTCACTCTGTAACTATAAAAAGTCCTTCCTTTCAAATCCCTGCCAT